AATTTATTTATATTTTAATGCAGTCAAGTGTGGGGCCCGGTTGGGAATCCGCTTTATTAATCTTTAATCGAGCTCCACGTCACCCTCCCCGTTTGGGGGGCGTGACAATTTATCTAAACAAGTTCATATGACATTCAAGGAAAAAAAAAAAATCAAGGCTTGATATATACTTTCTCCTAAACATTTGATATGAATTAAGTTAATTGTTTATGTAAAACAATCGGGTTGTAACGTCATAAATAAAAACTACAACATTTTTCAAACAAAAAAAAAACGATATGATGAGACAACAAATGGAATAAAAAACTAAAAACAGAAAATTGTGCACAAACAGAAAAAGAAAATTATGAAAAATTACGAAACCCGAGGAAGAAGACGAAGAAGGCGACACTGACACAGCTCACCAGTCATCTTCTTCACCATTTCGAATGTTAGGGTTCCAACAATCATGATTCCCTTATCTCTCAATCCAATCCAATTCTCTTCCTCTCTCAAACATCCCATCTTCAGACCAAATCCCTCCTTATTCAAATCCTCACCGGATCAGAAACTCGGACCGTACGAGGTAAGCTCCGACTTCTCCAACTTCGATTTACGGTTATTACGGAGGAAAATCGGAGTATTCTATGTATTTTCTCCAACTTCGATTTACTTTATGAACTATTCTGTATTCTATGTATTTTATCTAAACAAGTTCATATCACTTTCAAGGAAAAAAAAAAAAAACAACACTTGATACATACTTTCTCCTAAACGTATGATATGAATTAATTTCATAACGTTAAAATTATCAATTTATAAAATACTAACAAGATCATGTAAATCAATAATAACAATACATACTTAACAAAAGTTATAGTGTTTGCAAGGACTCATTTACACTGTATGATTTTTTATATAAATGCAAAAACGGTTTTTTTTTTTAAATAATTTTTTCAATAAATGTCTTTAATTTTCATATAAAAAAAATTAACAAAAAAACTTGATGGACTCTATATCTTTTGGGTTTTGTATAATTCCTCTTTTTTCTCATTCAGTTTTTTCTTCTTCTTTTTCAATTCACATGTTTATTTCTTCCAACAATTCCTTATTTTTATTAGCTTCTGCACCAGAAAAACCCCATAAGGAATTATTGGATAGAAATGAACACGTGGATGAAAAGATTACATGAGAGTTGAACAGGTAGGTTTGACTTACCGAATGAGTATTGTAGTAAAATATGTAGATTATTTATAGATATTTTATTATTTGAATCCTAATAGAACTAAAATTAGTTATCATAATAGAACTCGAACTAATTTAAAAGTTAAATGATAATGATAAACTCAAAAGAAAATCAAAACAATAAACCTAAATTAAAAGATAAATCAGAATAACAATCACTTTTTTTTTTTTTTGGGAAACTTTGCTTTATAAACTAATTAAATATTTTTTCTTTAGAATTATCGCATATTCTATGTATTTATCTAAACAAGTTCATATCGCTTTCAAGTAGAAAAAAAAAAAAGCAACACTTAATACATACGAATGAATGTTCTAGCAAAAATTGTACATTATTTATAACTTATACCTCACATAATCCCTAAGCGTTTGCCACTTGCATGCACGCTTAACGTTGGATAAACAATCTCTAATGTAATTCTATTTTGTTTTAACTTATGTCTACTTTTTATGCTTCCAGCCCATCAGTCCATCTCCCAAGGAGTTAAATAATAGCATAATACCTGCATCACTTCTCATGCCTCATCTTCAGAATCTTTTCCAGCAGACGTCAATTCAACAGGTAAAACAATAAACTTTAAGTACATTGAAATACTTTCTAACTTAGCCTGTTAAACGATTTAAAACTTCTAAACCTGCTGATTGCACTTATTCTTGGTTTCGTTAATGTCAGGATCTTATTATGAATTTGTTAAGTAGCTTGCAATCAACTGAGGTGGTAGATGGTGAGTGTCAGATATCTCATTTTGTGATGATTGGTGTAGTTATATCATTAAGTGTATTTAACAAGCAAGGTTCATCAATTTTGTAGCAGCTCAAAATGGGAAGTTGCCTCCACTGCCTCGCAGTCCAGAAAATAATGGAAGTGTAAGCTTGTTTTCATTCGTACCTTGTGATGAACATAATCATCTTCAGTAAAGATGCTTCTCAGATTGGTGTTTCATAGGAGATTTCTCGTTTTAATGGGAATGATTGACCATTTTCTTGCCGTATATGTGTACATTTTCTCACCAAAAGCTTCTAAAGATTCTAGGTCTACTATGCACAAATTTAAAGCACGTACACCAAGACATATTTGACTCTTTCAGTTGAAATTTCTTTGGTTGGACGCTCTCTTGGGAGCTTAGACTAGATTCAATCGTGCAAATTTTGTTTTTTTTTTTTTCATGGTATACGTTATTCATAAACACGTTTCTTTTTACCTTGTTTTTTACTTTGTTTTCTTGCCCTGTTTGTTTTCTAATGTTGACCTAGTTTGTCCAAATTTTAAAATCTTGTATTCTGTTGTGATGCACCTAATATTTTACTTTGACAGATTACATTTCATTCATGATATAACCTCATGTGAACTCATCTTTTGCGGAAACACTCATTTCTGTGCACTCAGTTCCCTTATTGTCTATTTTATTAACAGGTTGAAACAACAGCTTCGGAGAGGGAACGTTTACTCCTCATGAAGATCTCAGAGCTTCAAGCTAGGTTCGTGAGAACCGAATCAATTTAAATACTTGAGATACTACTTTGTGCATATAGAAATCAATTCTTATGGTCTTATCCAATGTTGCAGGATGAACTGTTTGACAGATGAACTGACTGCTGAAAAGTTGAAATACATACAAGTGAGTTTGCTCAAGAAAGCTCTCATTACACGTTTTGTTAGTTCTTTAAACTTAAAAATGTTATGCAACCCGACCGTGAGAGGGAAAGGGGAAACGATTTTTCTACACACATCGTGATTACACGTACTTTTCATTCATAAATTGGTTATTTCTAAGCAGTTGCAACAGCAGCTAATCGCTCTTTCGAGCCAGGAAGAAAACGGGGACAGAGGAGAAGGGGGTCTCTGAAAAAGCTGAAAAATATGATAGTGTAAAGTAAAATCAAGCATGTACATCCAGGCAAGATCTGTAAATCAGGCAGAAAATATTTATCCAATCATTATCTTTGCTCTACGGGGACTGCATCGGTTGTTTATACAAGTAGACGTAAGGCGAAAAAGGATGGCCATAATATTTTCGGGTCGCTTCTGCTGCTGTCTTGTAAGTTATCTATGAAAGATTTCAGCTACCTCAGTGGGAAACAAGCCAAAAAAAATTTACAGGCCGTCGTCCCCTTGCAGTGTTGTAACCCCCAAGCGGATGAAGAAAAAAGGTTGTCTGTTATTTTAGATTTTAGCCAGAAGGAGGGAGAAAGGGTAACCATAATATTGGTTTACATATCCTTTGGTTTCATACTTATCATTATCCAAAACATGGTATCGATCTATTATTTTTGTCAAACGGGATTTCATGAGTTTGTATATGTTGGCGGTAGAACATAATGGTACTTAAATCATTTCCAAAACTCTGTAAATTCTGCTGGTTCTTGACAATATTCGGATTTTGTATTTCTTTTTTATGCAGGAATGATATTCTGTCGGTTATCTTTATTTTATTTTATGATGTTCGATTTTTTCAGTCCCCAAGTTTATGCACATCAAAATCCAGAATCTCAAGTTGTGCCTAGCAAATTATTTCTTGAGCACAAATAAACCTCGAAACATTGGTTATTAGTTTATCAGACAAAAGCGTTAAGAGCCAAGTTAGTTTTTAAGTTATGCTATAAATTTTTTGCAAGCGTAAGTTGTCTCTTGAATTATTGATTAAGGATCATATGTTATAAGTTTATTAACGGTTTATTACTATTTGTCTGCATTTACCGAGTAACAAGTTTATTAAATTAGAACTGTTTAATTTAACCAACAAATTGATCACTACCAAAAAGATTAACTAACGAGATAGTACTATATCAACACCGATTTTCATCGGTCGAACCATCAAATAGTGTGGCGGTTCAGTAGTCTGTTATAGTGGCGGCAAAAACGCCAATAAAATGAAAAAACAACCACTGACTGTTGATGACAAGCACAAAGCTGAAGCCAAGAGACCCTTCACAACCTCTTAACAGAAGTTAATAGAGTATGTAAGGACTGATTTACACTGTACGATCTTCTATATAAATGCAAAAATAACTTTTTTAAAGTAATCTTCTCAATAAATGTCTTTAATTTTCATAAATAAATAAAAACCTAGTGCCGTTGATATTTTTGTCGATTTTGCATGATTCTTCCTTTTTCTCATTTAGCTTCTTCTTCTTTTTCAATCCACATGTTTATCTCTTCCAACAATTCCTTATCTTTGTTAGCTTCTGCACCAGAAAAAACCCGATAACGAATTGTTGGACAGAGATGAACATGTGGGTGAAAAGATTACATGAGAGTTGAACAGTCAAGAACCAACCGAATGAATGTTGTAGCAAAAATTGTACATTATTTATAGGTCTTGTTATTTGAATCCTAATAGAACTAAAATTAATTATCATAATAGAACTCGAACTAATTTAAAAGCTAGATGGTAATGATAAACCCAAAATAAAATCAAATCAATAACCTAAATTAAAAGATAAATCAGAATAATAATCTTTTATTTTTTGGAACAATTTGCTTTAATTATGAACTAATTAAATATTTTGCTTTATGAACTATCGTATATTCCATGTATTTTATCTAAACAAGTTCATATCACTCTCAAGAGGAAAAAAAAAAAAAAAAAAAAAAAAAAAAAAAAAAAAAAAAAACAACAAAACTTGATACATACTTTCTCCTAAACGTATGATATGAAGTAAGTTCATAACGGTAAGTTCATAATGGTATCGATCTATTATTTTTGTCAAACGGGATTTCATGAGTATGTATATGTTGGCGGTAGAACATAATGGTACTTAATTCATTTCCAAAACTCTGTAAATTCTGCTGGTTCTTGACAATATTCAGATTTTGTATTTCTTTTTTATGCAGGAATGATATTCCGTTGGTTATCTTTATTTTATTTTATGAAGTTCAATTTTTCCAGTCCCCAAGTTTATGCGCATCCAAGTCCAGACTCTCAAGTTGTGCCTAGCAAATTATTTCTTGAGTGCAAATAAACCTCGAAACATTGGTTATTAGTTTATCAGACAAAAGCAATGTGTTATAAGTTTATTAACGTTTTATTACTGTTTATTTGCTTTTACCGAGTAACAAGTTTATTAAATTATAATTGTTCAATTTAACCAGCAAATTGATCACTTCCAAAAAGATTGACTAACGAGATAGTACTATATTAACACCGATTCTCATCCGTCGAACCATCGAATATGTGGCGGTTCAGTAGTCTGTTATAGGGATATCGTGGTAACTTCAAACCAACATAAATAGATCCCATTATTTTACTGAATCTCATAATTAATACCAATGGGACTAAGAAAAATCTATTAATAAATAATATCAATCTAATCGATATGAAGATTTTCTTTATTTTTCTAAAACATTGTATCTAATATCCTATTATAATTAAGCTAATTAAATATTTTGCTTTACGAATTATCACATTCTATGTACTTTTATCTAAACAAGTAATATCACTTTCAAGAAAAACAAGCAACACTTGATACATATTTTAAAAAGCCCTCCTAAACTATGATATGAATTAAGTTCATATCGGTAAAATTATCAATTTATAAAATACTAACAAGATCATGTGAATCAATAATACTTAATAGAAGTTATAGAGTTTGTAAAGACTGATTTACACTGTAGGATATTATATATAAATGCAAAACCGGCTTTTTTAAAGTAATCTTTTCAATAAATGTCTTTAATTTTCATAATAAAAAAAATAAAATAAAAACTTGATGGCGTTGATATCTTTGTCAATTTTACGTGATTCCTCATTTTTCTCATTCAGCTTCTTCTTCTTCTTTTTCAATTCACATCTTTATCTCTTCCAACAATTCCTTATCATTATTAGCTTCTGCACCAGAAAAAACCCCATAAGGAATTGTTGGAAGGAGATGAACATGTGGATGGAAAGATTACATGAGAGTTATTAAGATTAATTATCATAATAGAACTAGAACTAATTTAAAAGCTAGATGATAATGATAAACCCAAAATAAAATTAAAACAATAAACCATAATTAAAAGATAAACCATAATAATAATCCCTTTTTTTTTGGAACACTTTGCTTTATGAACAAATTAAATATTTTGCTTTATGAACTATCGTATATTCTATGTATTTTATCTAAACAAGATCATATCACTTTCAAGGAAAACAAAAAAAGCAACACTTGATACATACTTTCTCCTAAACGTATGATATGAATTAATTTCATAACGGTAAAATTATCAATTTATAAAATACTAACATGATCATGTGAATCAATAATAACAACACATACTTAACAGAAGTTATAGTATTTGCAAGGACTCATTTACACTGTATGATCTTCTATATAAATGCAAAAACGGCTTTTTTAAAGTAATTTTTTCAATAAATGTCTTCAATTTTCATAAAAAAAAATTAACAAAAAAAACTTGATGGACTCTATATCTTTTCGGTTTTGCATGATTCCTCATTTTTCTCATTCAGCTTCTTCTTCTTCTTTTTCAATTCACATGTTTATCTCTTCCAACAATTCCTTATCTTTGTTAGCTTATGTACCAGAAAAAACCCCATAAGGAATTATTGGATGAAAATGAACATGTAGATAAAAAGATTACATGAGAGTTGAATAGTCAAGAACCTACCGAATGAATGTTGTAGTAAAATATGTACATTATTTATAGGTCTTTTGTTATTTGAATCTTAATAGAACTATGATTAATTATCATAATAAAACTAGAACTAATTTAAAAGTTAGATGATAATGATAAACTCAAAATAAAATCAAAACAATAAACCAAAATTAAAAGATAAACCATAATAATAATCCCTTTTTTTTTTTGGAACACTTTACTTTATGAACAAATTAAATATTTTACTTTATGAACTATCATATATTCTATGTATTTTATCTAAACAAGTTCATAACACTTTCAAGGAAAAAAAAAACGCAACACTTGATACATACTTTCTCCCTAAACATATGAGAAATTCTTTATGAATTAAGTTCATTACGGTAAAATTGTTTATCGAATTTTTGTTTTAACAAATGGGACTGTGTCGTCATAAAAAACGACAGCATCATCTACAAACTACAACATTTCTTAGAAAAAATGATATGATAACACTACAAACGGAACAAGAAACTTAAACAGAAAATTATGCACCAAAAAAAAAAATTATGAAAAGAGAAGTTAATTCTTTAAGATACCCATATAAAAACTTCCAAAAAGGGGAGTTTTGCAATCATTCATTCACAGTTTGCAGAAATATGAATCTACATAAGCTTGTAAAAGAAACATCCATCAATAAATCCATTGGTGGGGTCGGGAGATGACGTGGTAAAAATGATTTGATTTAAAAATTAGAATTAATTTAAAAAGTGCCCTTCAATTTTTTTGCCATTCTTCAACTTGTCCCGTAGAACTTGTATATTTTATCTCTTGAAATTGAGTCAAAATCAATAGTTCATTTATTATAAGATAATATTAGTTCAGAGAGTGTTTTAAACCACGTTTCATATTTCAAGGGGAAAAATCAGGAAGACATGAACTTTTTTAAAATTTAAATGATATATTAAGACTCCGTTCATTTTACCGATTCGAGTTTAGAATTCGAGTTTTGCTATAATAAAAAGCTCTCAGAAACAGTCACATCTAACTTTTTTACTACAGTAAAAAGCTCTTATATAAAGTCACATCTCAACTCGAATCAACGAACTAAACGGATCCTAAAATAAGGTATAAAATTTAAGGACATTTCTGAAATTAATCCTAAAAATTATCATCACGCTTCCCATTATGTACTTTTACATTTGCATATATTATAGATGAAAGAGGGAAAGTATAGATTCAATCAAAGAACTGCTGTTTTTTTTTTTTTTTTTGGCGGGGAACCTGAACTTGAAGCTATATCAATATATAATATTTCAAAAATTCAATTATTTCATTAAGCATTGAAGCCTTATTTTAGCAGTTCTACCACAGAAGGAAAGGCTAACTAAAATAAATGCGGCTAAGCAATGATGCGGCAAAATATGGTTTAAGAGTTAACATAACGCTAGCCATTTTGTTTTTTTTTTTTTTGTTTTTTTTTTTGTTTACAATTCACACTACCCAATCTTGCACTATATATATATATATAAGCATATTTTTATATATATGTATAAATTCACACTAAATTTTTTTTGTTAAATTATATTATAAAAGCATATTTCATAACAAATTGTTCTTCTCTATTTGATCTTATTGACAGTCCTCTCATCAAAAGCGTTGCTTATTATGACTGAGACTTTTTTTGTTGTTTTTAGCCTTTACGTTTGTCTAATAATGTCGTGGTTGATTTCACCATTTGGATGTGTTCTTAGTTCTTTTATTTTTTTTTTAGCAACGGACTCATAATCTTCTTCCCTATTTTCGATTATATTTTTGTGCAATATCCAATTACTTATTCCTCATATCAATTTCGTTACAATATCTCATGCATAAGTGTTTATGGTCATTTGAAGGGAAAAAGGAAAAAAATTTATTTTGGATTCTGGATTAAACTGTTTATTTTATATGGACTATTTTACTTCTCAAGATTTTATTTCATCTCCTTGTTGTTTATGCTTTTGAACTATTCAAAGAGGTATGAAGTCATAGATTAAAATTAGTTTTCACCAACCTGAGTAACCCGAGCCTACTTGAGGTCACCCGAAAGGTTGCGGGTTTGTAAACTTTTATCAACCTGCACTGATCGGGTCGGCTCAATTTTTCGGCTCAACCCGACCCTACCCGGCCGATTAACACCCCTAGTTAACATAACGCTAATTATAGAAGTATATTTCATAACCAATTGTTCTTTTTTATTTGATCTTGTTGACCGTCCTCTCATAAAAAACATTTTTTATTGTTACTCGAGTCTTTTTTTATTGTTTTTAGCCTTTATGTTTGTCTAATAATGTCACGGTTGATTTCACCATTTGGGTATGTTCATGGTTCTTTTAATTTTTTTGCAATGGACACATAATCTTCTTCCCTATTTTTGGTTTTATTTTTGTGCAATATTCAATTACCTATTTCTCATATCAATTTCGTTACAATATCTCATGCATGAGTGTTTATGGTCATTTGAAGGGAAAAAGAAAAAAAAAATTTAAGGAAGTTATTTGTAATCCGATTGGTCAGTTTGTTTTTGCTGGTAAAAGTTATAACTAAAAAAGTATTTATATGTGAAAAATTTGAGGCGATGTTTAGTAGTAGTTTTTTCTATTGTTTGTTTTGTTGTTTTTTGTTTTTGTTTTTTTGTGTCTAAATTCTTTGTTTAGTATCTAATCTAGCTCTCCATCTTACTCTATGCTAAGGATAAGGAGAACCCCCTATGGCATGATTCAAGAGATGTTTTTTCGGCAATTTTTTTTTTTTACAATCCTGTTCACCAATGGGGAAACACCTTGAGAAACAAATTTTCCTTTTTTCTTTTCTTTCTTTTTTGTTTTTTTTCTGTTTCTTTTTTTTTTTTTTGTTTTTTGGCTTTTGAAAAGAGGTATGAGAAACGAAATTGATATGTCAAGAGACGACATCTATTGTAAGTATAGGCCCTTACAAATAAATATAGGCCCTTCAACTTAATTGAGCTTGTGCGACTATTGTCTCTTAATCAAATAAATATAGGCCCTTCAACTTGAATTTATGCCCTAATGAACAGTAATAGGCTTATGTTAAACAATATCTAATTTACAACTTGGCTATATATATATATATATATATAATAAAGGTTGTTGACGTTATTTTTACACATAAAAATAAAGAAAAAAAAAACCTTAATGACGTTGATCTATTTGTGGTTTTACGTGATTCCTCTTTTTTTTTTTTTTTGTCAGCTTCTTCTTCTTTTTTTTCAATTAATATGTTGATCTCCTTCCAACAATTTCTTATTTTTGTTAGTTTCCGCACCCAAAAAAAAAAAGCCACTAGAAATTGTTGAAAAAAGATAAACATGTGGATGGAAAGAGTACATGAGAGTTAAACATTCAGAAAACCAATTAATGAATATTGCAGTAAAAAAAATAATCATGAAGTACATTATTTATACCAAGCCAAACAGCCTATAAAATGCCAAAACAACCACTGACGGTTGATGAGAAGCACAAAGCTGAAGCTAAGGAGGAGGTAAGAGACCCTTCACAACCTCTTAACAGAAGTTATAGAGTATGTAAGGATTGATTTACACTGTAGGTTGTCTACGTTATTTTTACACATAAAAATAAAGAAAAAAAACCTTAATGATGTCGGTTTTACGTGATTCTTCTTTTTTCTCATTCAACTTCTTCTTCTTTTTCAATCCACATGTTTATCTCTTCCAACATTTCCTTATCTTTGTTAGCTTCTGCACCAAAATAAACCCAATAACCAAATGTTGGACAGAGATGAACATGTGGGTGAAAAAATTATATGTGAGTTGAACACTCAAGAACCAATTGAATGAATGTTGTAGCAAAAATTGTATATTATTTATAGGTCTTTTGTTATTTGAATCCTAATAGAACTAAAATTAATTATCATAATAGAACTCGAACTAATTTAAAAACAAGATGATAATGATAAACTCAAAATAAAATCAAACCAATAACCTAAATTAAAAGATAAATCAGAATAATAATATTTTATTTTTTGGAACACTTATCTTTAATTATGAACTAATTAAATATTTTGCTTTATGAACTATCGTTTATTCTATGTATTTTATCTAAACAAGTTCATATCACTTTTAAGAGAGAAAAAAAAAACAACACTTATACATACTTTCTCCTAAACGTATGCTATGAATTAAGTTCGTAACGATAAAATTGTTTTATCAGAATTTTTGTTTTAACAAATCGGGCTGTATCTTCATAAAAAACGACAACATCGTCTACAAACTACAACATTTTTCAAACCAAAAAAAAAAAGCGATATGATGACACAACAAACGGAATGATAAACTTAAACAGAAAATTGTGCACAAAAAGAAAATAAATATTATGAAAAGAAAAATTATGAAAAATTACGAAACCCGAGGAAGAAGAAGAAGAAGGCGACACTCACACAGCTCACCAGTCATCTTCTTCACCATTTCGAATGTTAGGGTTCAAACAATCATGATTCCCTTATCTCTCAATCCAATCCAATTCTCTTCCTCTCTCAAACCTCCCATCGTCAGACCAAATCCCTCCTTATTCAAATCCTCGCCGGATCGGAAACTCGGACCGTACGAGGTAAGCTCCGACTTCTCCAACTTCGATTTCCGGTTGTTGCGGAGGAAAATCGGAGTCGGTATTTGCCGAGCGGAGCTCTCCCACGACGCGCCGTTCGTCGCCGCCATCGGCGCTTGTATGCTCTCTTCGCTGGTTCTGCCGGTGGCCGGAGCTCCCGACGACGACGAGGATGGTGAGGATGCGGCTATTGATTCTACAGATGCTAGGTTTGGGGTTATGGGAATCATCAGCTTCATTCCTTACTTCAATTGGCTGGTAATCAACAAAAGATCCAATCTTTTACTTCTTATTAAACAAACAAACTGATAATTATTTATTAATTTGTGTAATTATTGGTCAACGATTGAATCAGAGCTGGGTTTTTGCGTGGCTTGATACTGGGAAGAGGCGCTATGCAGTGTATTCTCTAGTTTACTTGCTTCCTTACATCAGGTATAAAAACTGTTTCCTTTAAGCTTTGGTTAGTAATCTAATGGAGAGAAATGATCTTGAATATCTTGTTAGTTGAAATGATACTATCTGTTGCTATCACAGCTCAGTTATTGGTATGTTTACTTTCAATCCCTGATATTCTGGACCATATAAACAACATTCCCTTGTTAGTTGTTTGATGGTTCAAAATGGTTTATAACTTTATACTTGTCAATTTGGTTCATCTTTTTGGATTTTGAAGCAAGCATAACGTAACTGTTGATGGTTTAAAATGGTTTATACTTGACCATTTGGTCCCCTTGATGAATTAGGTCAAATCTGTCATTGTCACCGGAGGAGAGCTGGCTGCCTATTGCTAGCATTGTTTTGTGTATTCTTCACGTTCAGGTACAAGCTCTTTTCAATCATTTTTCCTTCCTGGTTCAGCATAAGGAGTTTACTTATATATTGGTTTGTGCCTCAGATTTCCTTTCATAACTTCTTTTTAAATGTCAAGCGCAATTTTATTTGCAAACTACCATAGAGTTGCTTATATAATCGGAGCTACATAAGAAGTTTGCATTGTTTAATATCTTTGGTTTGTCATTGCAAGAAAGCTTCGGGCTTTATGTTAGAAGCTAGGTTAGGTTTGTTCCTTACTTGTATGATCATTTAGTCTTATCTCTGTGACTCCAAATCTTTCCTATCTGCAGATCGAAATAAGTATTAAAAACGGAGATATTCAAGCCTTTCAATTTTTTAGTGAGGCTTCAAAGCGTGTTTCATCAGCATCTAGAAGGAAGGATTCATTGAAGGTATGACTTCTTGCGGTTCCTGGATACATTAATGCGTTTTCTGAGGAAGGCTTTTAACTGATTTGATTTCATTATCAAGGGGAGGAAAAACGAGCAAATAAATCTGTCATCTGCTGATGAGCAATCCAGGAACAAAATTCGAGGGTCGGGAGTTCCCAGAGAGCCCCTACATGATAATGAACACTTGAATGACGATTGGGATGAAGACGACAGAAGGAAGCACTAGAAAGTCTCGCTTGCATTGCAGAAATAATGAACTCTCAACATTTGACACTGTGATTTAGATAAAACATGTTTACCGCTTGTATCGGTCCCCAAAATGAACAAGAGTATGATTGAAAAGCCAACGTTCATAAGATTGAGAATTACCAGTTTCTACACTACAAATGTATTGGCATACATACTAATAGAATGAATTTAGCTTTGTATTTTTCATGGTAGCATATCACTTGTTTTGAAAGGACAATTTTCTGACAACAGGGTTTAATTTCAAAGCCTCAAATGGTGACATCTCTCTCTCTTCAGTCTTGCTTACAAAATTTTGGGACCCAGTATATTGCACATACTTGCTGAAAGCCAGCCTATGATTCCCATTAACTTCCTTTTTTTTTTTTTTTTTTTTTATGTTTTGTGTTGTGGATAGCATTAGCGCTCTACCGAAGGCAAAAAATGAATTATTCGAAGTAACTAACTACATACCATCTTAGAAGATAATAATTGAATAATAAATGTATACCACCAAATTGGTTAGCAAATAATCTACAATTAGGAATTGTATGATCTTTTCAACATTAGCACATCAACTATCTTTGGTTCTCGCAATTGATGTTTTGATAGGGAAAGGACTCAAAAGCCCCATCTTAAAACAATAGTCCAGACCAACAGCAGCAGAAACAAAAAGAAAAAGATCCTGGGACACATGAATTGCACCATCAAAAGCATGAGACGAGATGCTTTCTGTATTTAATTCCAAAGGTTGTCCACCACTCAGTGTAGCAAGACCTGCATTGCCATTTAAAAATCTCATCAACCTCCAACAACCAGAAAACTAGTTTAACTTTCGGTAATTCTTTTACTAAAAAGACTTGTTCAATACCTTTGACAACTCCGAAAGCCGCACATGCCCCTGTCTTAAGATGGACATCATCCAAGTCTCTTCTTATGGTGTACCTAAAGGTAACCCCGAATAATGCACAGCTAGCAAAGGTGATTGCTAGAGGGAGTATCAGCTGTGAAGTGGTGGACACCTGAGTAAGGGAGATTGGCAATCCTGCAATAGTGCCAACAAAAGCAGAGATAGAAGCTGCTTTTATAGACTCCAATCTCTCTTCATCCTTGTCAATTTCTTCATTTCCTTTTCCTGCATAAGAACCTTCTTCACTTTGAGAGAGTGAGCGTTCGGCTTCTTCAACCATTGCTCTTGCCTCTGATATCTCCTTCTGACATTCTGCAATCTAAGAGTCAGCAGCACCAGTTATTGTTAGCAAAAGCCAATATAAATTGCCCCAAGAGCACAACAAAGAAACAAGGGCTGTCAATGTCATAGTAATTGAGCAATACAGATTTAAACCAGTAGCATTTTCAAAAGCCTCACAATCTCATCAATCCAAGTAGTGGTTTGTTTTATATCATGTTTAAAAAAAACATAACATATAGCATACACGTAGCAATATCAAGAGTGATCCACAAAAATTGTTGATTACGAAATCTGATATGAATTGGGAGAATTCTTTAATAGGATATGAAAAAGTAGCGTACTGATAGAACATAGTTTTTAACCATCAAATCTTTATCAAATTCTGTTAAGTTGTCATACCTCAATTTAATCTGATGGGGTATTAAAAACTATTTATCCTAGTGTTTTTATCATACCGTACTATAGAATTCTCCTATTAATTGCTCCAAAAACACGTTAACGAATCAAATCAATGCGAGGTTGTCATTCCAATTCAGCAATTCTATAGAAAAAAAAATCTCTTTCAAAATTAGCCACACTAGGGAAGTAATCTCATGAGGACTAAAAAGCAAGCCTTCCAATCTTTTAAAAACCATAAACCTGCACTGCTAATTCCCAACGTATCCACAAACTAATAAAAGCATTTCCCAACCTCACTGATTAAGTCAAAACATCATTCAAAGTCCAATTAACAAAACCCAGAAACTAAACAAAACATAAATCATTTTGATACCTCGGAAGCTCTTCTCTCAAGCTGGTCAACATATTCCCTCATTTGATTAGCCTCAAGTTCCTGTCTTTCAATCTCGGCGAGCTCTCTCTTGGCCTTCTCAACCCTCAGCGAAGCCCTCTCCAACCCATCAAGCAAAGCCTTGTTCTCTTCTCTGTTCAGCAGCTCCTGAACCTGCTCTCCCACGACGTCGTTTAGGGAGTCCTTGAGATTAAAGCTTTGCTCTCGGAGGCCGCCATTGTTGCTGCACTTCACTGCCAGGGAAGAAGCTCTGCGGAAGAATTTGGCGCGGTGGCATTTTGGTATGATGTTGAAGTCGAAGAGGTTGTTTTGGGAGAAAGTGCTGTTGTTGGTGGGGTTTGGACAGGGAAGGAAAGTGGGTTTGATGGTGGAGTTCATTGGCATGGCGTTCTGACTTCTAAGTCCAAATGGAGCTGCTCATGCGGCCTTCGGAGTTAGGATCTTCTTATCCTCTTATTTCCACTCAGATATTTCAAGGATACTAGTCGGCGTGTTGTAGACAACCTAAAAGTTTATTATTTATTGAAAATTTTATTTATAAAATTATTTAAGTATTTTTAAATTTATTTTAAAAAATAAGTGTAAAGATAATTATTAATAAAAAAAAATTAAGTAAGAACACGAAAATTATTTTAATCAATTAAAAATAAAATAAGAATATATACGAAAAAATTACTCTCATCAAAATAAATTAAGAAACAATATATTTTTTAAAAATACATAAAAAATTAAAATGTAAAAAAATTTACAAAAATAGAGATAAAAAGCTAAAAAAAATAAGTGAATAGGCTGTCACGTAAGCTTTAACTCTCTTGTGTTTGTTAGATTATATAATAAACAAACGTAAACGCCATAAGCAAATTTATTATCATATAATAATAATAATAATAATAATATAGGTTTTTTAATTTGTTAAAAAATAACTCATAAGACCCATTTTAGATATAATTTAGATGTTTGATTTTGAATGAAACTCATGTTATCTTAGTAGCGAGTTAATATAAATTTATATTCTACTAGATCGAAATAGTCTATTCCTATGCTCAAAATGATGCAACGACGAATGAGAAATTGAGCTTAAAGTGTACTCGATAAAATTGGAAAAGTACATTATTTCCACTGAACCGTATAAAAGACCCCTCAATTCATTCCAATACACACTGAAAACATAGTTCTCTCCTCTCCTAGATTTTGATAAACCGGAAAACTAGAGATATTCAGGGTGTGTTCGGTTGACTTAACTTACTCAAAAAATGGGTACTTGAGTCAGTCTCTTGAGCGAAGTTAATGTTCACCACTTGCGTACTCAAACCCAGACTCGGAAATTTACTCGAGTCAACTACCCATTCTTAGGTTCATCAACAGTCGCGAATCCTGACCCTACCCTACTTCACAGCTATCTCTTCCATTAACTGCTGTGTATACTGATCACGTGATTCTCTGCCAGATTCTCGAGTTGCTGAGCAGTGGTTGACCACCAACAACCCTCTTCTGCTCATGCTCCTTCATGCTTAAAACCATCCGTGGCCATACCATCAAAACTGGTGAGTTTCTATTTTCCTTAAATCCGAGTTTGAGAAACCCTAACCCCATAATCATTCTAAAATCCCAAAATATCTGCCAATCCTACTCTTCGTCAACCATCGACTCTCACAGTCAGAAAGTAACACCAAATTTGTGATTATTTTCAGAAGTAAGTTTTGGAATTTTTATTTTTATTTCCATTTTCATTTTCTCATTTCCGAAGACCAGGGTGAAGAACAAACTAATAACATTTCGAAGGCACTACCAATTTTGTTGATTTTCTCAATGTGAATTTGAAAAACAAACTAGGGAAATTGATTTACACTTTCTCACGTTATGTCTTTCTTTTACAGAAATCTCTCTCGCTATCTTTTATATATATATATATATATAAACTGAGCAACTTGCGTAAATGTTAATTTTTCTTCACCTATATTTTAGTTTCTTTGTGTGGTTTTTTTTCTGTAGAACTTGGCATGGCATTTTGCTTGTTACATGTATTTCTATGTCAAGAGAGTTATTTTGCTCGATACCTGGATTCTTGTTATTGTTGGCCCATCATTTTTCCCCCTTTTTTCTACAGGTTTTGTTATTCTTTTCCTAAGAAACCAAGGATTTGTTCTTCACCGTTTTCGTCCCCATTCAAAACGGGTAAATTTGTGGGGAACTGATTGGTTCGGTGACCCGCATGGACAACTATCCTAGGTTGATGTAAAAGGAGAACAGAGCGACCTAGAGCTCTCCATTGGCGACGTCCAAGGTTTTTCCCCTGCGATTGTCGTCGCCGGCACCTCACTGAAGCTCTGTATTCCTTGCGTATTGGGGATCTCCAAGCAGATCAAACTTCATCCTCTGTAAACTCGAACTCGGTATATACCTCAACCTTGATTTAATTTGCAAAACTTGTTGTTTTCCTGTTTGATTTTGCTTCCATTAATTCCAGCAAGAGTATAGGAATCGACGTGGTAGAGGTTTCAACAGTGAACGTGAATTGTTCAACTACACACACTCATCACTGCGTAATGTGATTGAAAGAACATTTGGTGTATGGAAGGCCAAGTTTCGTATTTTGAAAACCATTAACCGTTACCCCATACGCAAGCAAGTTAAGATTCCCATTGCATGTGTTGTATTACATAATTTTATCCACATGTACCGTAATGGAGACGCCCTATTAGAGCAGTACTCACAAGATGACGTTCCAGTTGTGGACATTAATCCTCAGAATGTTGAAGAGGACATCAACGACAATAACAACCATGAGGGACAACCTTTGAATTACAATGCAGAAGTAAAGATGAATGCATTAAGGGATGCAAGAGCGCATACAATGTGGGTAGTGTACCGTAACCGTTGAACGTGATAAAAATTGTCCAATTTAAGACTTTGATGTGCTATGAGATGATATTACATTAGGACTGTATACTTATGTTATAAATTATGTTTTCTTGTTGTCCTTTTCTCTCCATTAATATAGAAAATGATGTTGTATTTTTTATTTTTATGATTTTTTAAGGAAAAAAAAGTCTCACGTTATTTTTAAACTTATAGCTACTTTTAATTTATATCTAGTTTCAATTGCATAAAATTAAATAAATTCAAATAAGGGAAAAAAAAATTTGCTCTTCCCACTATTCACAACTCAAATCTTTATTATACACAACACAAATTTAAAAAGATTCTATTTTCAAATTATAACTCAAATGTACACAACCAAACACAAACTCAAATTATAATTTCATCTCAAATTATAACTTAAATTCAATTCAAAAATTACACTCAAATAAAACTCTAAAAGAACAAGTCCTCAATTATTCAATGAGTTGGATTTTAGGGGAGACAACAAACTAGGAGACGAGTTATATAATTTTAATGTAAAAGTGATGTTTCTACTATTGATCTTAACAAATGCAGCAATATTAATTTCACCATGATTTCACAAATAGGCTCTCAATAATTATTTCTCTTATTTTTTTCCACCATCAAATAAAACAAAATGACCTGTAGATTAAAGCAACATTACCATGTTAACGGTGCCTTTAACATCTGCGAATTTCTGATCCATTAGTTACACTATGAGACCATTTGCTTTGACCCATCCAATTAAAATCCAACGGTCCCAATAGCATACCCATTAATAGGTAAAAGCAACTGCCCCTACCATGGAACTCCTTTTTTATATTATTTCATTATTATTAGGGAAATTCTCATCATATTATTATTATATCGGTAACAACAACATTTTTTAGTAGGGCAAGGCAAAAGGGTTTTTGACGGCTGCAAATCCAGACTAACAAGACAACACATTACACACAAAAGTAAAGTAATGCTGGCAAGACTAAGCATTAGCAGCAGAGGGTTTAATCAGAGCCAACAACCATTCATCTTCACCCTCCATAGCCGCCTTCGCTTCAACCTCGCTTCCCTTCTCTCTCCCATGGCTTCTTCCTCTCCCACCACTCATGTTCCTTCTTTCTCCACCAGTTCTCCCTCTCCCTCTCCCCCGCCCACGAAGCGCATCGGCACTCACAACGGCAGCTTCCACTGCGACGAAGCCCTAGGCTGCTTCATGATCCGCCTCTCCGACAAGTTCGCCGACGCCGAAATCGTCCGCACTCGCGACCCCCAGGTTCGGTTCGTTCTCATTTTCATTTTTCGTTTTCCGTTTGGTTTCCGAGAAAAAAAAAAGGACTTTGGATTCGGTTTCTTGTGTTTGAACGCGCGGTTGCCAGAGCAGTTCCGAATTCTGTATTCAACTCCAATACGAAAATTCTGCGTTAATATATCATTTTTTCAGTTGATACCTTTTTCAAATATGTTTGTGAACTGTAGTATTCAAACGCTCACAATTTGGATCACAAACCAAACACACCCTAATTTTGGAAGAAAAGTTTCTCGTTTTCCTTTTGTTTTCCTAGAAAAATGAAGGATTTTGTGTTCCGTTTCTTGTATTTGAACGGGCGATTGCGAGCAGATCCGAAATCTGTATTCAAATGCAATTGGAAAATTCTGGTATAAATGCTCATAATTCGGATTACAATCTCTCCCTCTCTTGATCATTTGCAGGTTTTGGAGGGTCTGGACGCTGTTCTTGATGTTGGGGGTGTGTATGATCCAAGTGGGGATCGGTATGATCATCACCAGAAGGGCTTTCAAGAGGTTTTTGGTCACGGTTTTACTACTAAGCTTAGTAGTGCAGGACTTGTTTACAAGGTAATTACTAATTACTCTTCTCGGAAAATGGCCACAATTTTAGCGTTTTGTGTTTGGTTTATGTATGGATTTTGTAGCTGATTCCTCTTTGTTTGTAGCATTTTGGAAAGGAGATAATAGCTAAGGAGCTTCAAGCTGATGAAGGGCACCCAGATGTGCATAGGTTATTTTTGGCTGTTTACAAAAGCTTCATGGAGGTACTACTAGGTTCTGCTTTTCTCCTTTGTATCGTCACTAAAGAAAGTTGTGAACCAAAGACTCGGCATGATTGTGAGGTTCATGTATATAGAGATGCTAGTAAAGCAGCTCATATTCAGTTTTACAGATTTGTTATCTATCCTTAAAAAGATAGAAGAAAAAGAAGAAGCTTGTTTAGATGTATGTATAGGTTATCCTTGCTCTTGTAGATTAATACTTTGGATTATTTGTACCAGGCAATCGATGCTGTTGATAATGGCATAAACCAGTATGATATTGATAAGCCTCCACGGTACGTCAATAATACACATTTGTCCTCAAGAGTGGGGAGATTTAATTTGGACTGGACTGATCCTGACCAATCATCTGAGAAGGAGAATGAGGCCTTTCAACGAGCAATGGCTCTGGCGGGTAGTGAGTTTTTAGATGTGAGGCTCTATTTTCATTAAGAGAGATATGCTTTTTTCCTCTCTCTCTCTCTTTCTGAAGTGAAGTCAGATCACTTGTTTTCCTTTTTCAATAACTAAATTTGGCGCATGATGAAATTCAGACAGGCGAAGGTTTATCTTTAAAAAAGCAACGTTAAACCTTAAACGTTATAGGAATTTACTCCTTTTGTGGTTGATTGCTAAAGCTTAAACTTTAAACTGGTTGTGGTTGATTGCTAAATGAAAGTTGCAAATTTACTCCTTTTTTCTTTTTTTGTTCCTCTCACCCAACTTTGTAATGAACCTCACAATCATGCAGAGTCTTCGGTTCCATGCGAAATCGTGGTTGCCAGCTAGATCTATTGTGATGGAGTGCCTTTCAGCAAGATGGGATATTGATCCCAGTGGAGAAATTATGGTTTTAAATAGATTTTGCCCTGTAAGTATGCGGATGATTATTTTTATATTTGCCCATGGATTTAGCTTCTATCCTGCACCTAAACTAGTCAATGCCTTAGTTTACATTTTAATCCAATATTTCTTTCAGCTAATGGAATATCTGACTCATCTGTATAATGTCCTACAGTGGAAGCTTCACTTATTTGAGCTTGAGGAGGAGATGAAGATTGACCCTCCAATCAAATATGTCCTTTATGAGGTAATTGAGATAAAAGTATTCATATGTAAATATTTTTTCCTAAAACCTTTTGCTTCTTTCATCAATAATTTACTGTTGCTACGGATCCATGAGAAGAGGATGTGTATCATATGAAGAAAAGAAAGTGTTTTTGAGATGGGTTTTGCATTAAGAAACCTGTTATGTTAATGTTAAATGTTAACTGCACTTTTAGAGGGTGAAATCTTCAATTCTCTTGCATTTGAGTTTTTCCTTCCCACGTTTCTTCTGTGTCATACTCCCTCTGTGTACTAACTACCCAATAGCACACGCAGGACGAGAGGGGCAAAACTTGGCGAGTGCAAGCAGTGGGTGTATCTCCTGATAGATTTGAGAGCCGTAAGGCTCTTGCTTTGCAGTGGCGAGGTCTTAGAGATGAAGAACTCTCAAAGGAATCAGGAATTCCTGGTTGTGTTTTCGTCCACATGAGTGGCTTTATTGGCGGAAATCATACATACGAGGGTGCTCTGGCCATGGCAAGGGCTAGTTTGAAGCTTTGACAAGGCGATTGACTTGAGTTTTCTTTTCTTAACTGCTTCTCTGAGATGTACTATAGCAAGTTCATTCTCAGTCTCGGTTATTGTTTCGAAAAATTTTACCATATGGGTATTGAAATTCTACCATACATTGGAAGATGCTTATTCTTACCTCAAATTAGTACATTCGTCGGGACAGTGCCTTCTTATATCATAGGGGTAGAGTCCATGTGTTTTGACTAGTCTTGTTGGACATTTTGGACTGCTGTTGAGATTTGCAGGCGTGAAACTTGGAAGAAATCGGATTGTCACAAAACTCACCTATTGGGAAAGAGGGAAAATTCAAACATAATCTCTATCCCTCCCCTAACAGAACAAGCCATGAATGCCAAAAAAAAAAATTTCCATTCGACACTTTAAACACACAAAATTGCTACAAATTGCCATTGCAAGTTGCCCTCCGAAGTCTCAAAATGGCTAAACCGTAAACAAATGTAACAAACAAGGATGTTCCATACCACAACAGCCCATTGAACACTCCCATGAATCAACAACTTTGCTAAAAAAGAAAATGTTTACTAAACTTTGTTAAATTTCCCGATAATTTATAATTTGTTAGAATATTGTTGATAAGTATGTTTGGATTACTTTTTGGTGCGATCTTTGGTGAGTTTAAGAGGAAATAAAACGAGATTCAGATCGAGATCACTCTCGCTTTTTCACTCTCCATTCTCTCTCTCTCCTCTTCCTCTCTCTAGATTAAACTTTCTTTCGATACTCTCAATGCCCTTGCCCCACGCAACCATGGCCGCCACATTCACCTACCCCGCCACGATCCCAACCGCCACCGTCGCTGCCGCAAATCGCTCGAAATCCGCCGTCACTCTTACCCTTCCCATTCACATCCCCAAATCATTTCCGCTCAAAACCCTAAACCCTGTCAGATTCGCCCTTACCACGAAACCCAAATTCTCACTCAAATCCTCAGCCGCCGCCTCCGATCACTCCCTCACCGGCGATGCCACCACCTCCGGCTTACCCTCCTGCGCCGCTTCTTTCCAGACCCTAAAATCCCGCCTCCGCAGTGGCGAAACCCTCTACGGCATCTTCCTCCTCAGCTTCTCCCCCACTCTCGCCGAGATTGCGGGTCTCGCCGGCTACGACTTTGCCGTCGTCGACATGGAGCACGGCCCCGGCGGGATTTCCGACGCGCTCGACTGCCTCCGCGCCCTCGCGGCCACCAGAACTCCGGCGATCCTCCGGTTACCGGAAAGCTCCCCAGCTTGGGCCAAGAAAGCCCTAGATCTCGGCCCTCAGGGAATCATGTTCCCGACGATCGATTCCCCCAAGGATGCCAAGAAAGCCGTCTCGTACTGCCGGTTCCCGCCGGCGGGAATCCGCGGCACCGCCCACACTGTCGTCAGAGCATCCGACTACGGCATCGACGAAGGCTATCTGAGCAACTACGAGGAAGGTCTGCTGATAATGTGTCAGGTCGAATCCACGGAAGGGGCGAAGAAAGCGGAGGAGATCGCGGCCGTGGACGGCGTCGATTGCATTCAAATGGGACCGTTGGATCTGAGCGCGAGCATGGGGTACCTGTGGGACCCGGGGCACAAGAAGGTGAGGGAGACTCTGAGGGCGGCGGAGAGAGGCGTTCTTTCAACCACCGGTGGCGGCGGAGGCGCTTATTTGGCCGGGTTTGCGATGCCGCACGACCGGCCGGAGGACATGAGGGCGCGTGGGTACCGCATGGTGTCCGGCGCCGTCGACGTCGGGCTGTTCAGGAGCGCCGCCGTGGAGGACGTGAGGAGGTTCAAGATCAGCTTGGTGGACGGTGATGATGATGATGAGAAGGAGCAGGATAAGGATGCTGATGAGAAGTACTGGAGCGAATGAAACGCCAATTTCTTTTTGCATTTCGAGTTTTTTAAAATTTTCTTTTTTTTTTCTTTTTTGTTTTCGGGCTTTTTGTAAATGTAGTGGGTGGGCTGGGCTATTTTTGGGGTTTTAATGTTGAGAAGATGATGATCATGAATAAGAAAGGGAAAAATTAAAGGTCAATTTTCCGGCTCTAGTAGAAACATAGGAGAGGGAAAATGATGGAAATTTGCGGGTTTTTATTAGTAATGATTTACTAGCCAACATTTGCATCCTAATATCCAAACACGCGTAACTTCTTTTGAATCATCTTTTAGCATGTTCTAGCTAGTTATGGTTAGTGGGAGAAAAAAATATATAAAAGAAGAGGCAGGGAAAGGAAAAAGGCGTAAAACTAGCAATAAATGCGTCAACAATGAGTCTATTAAGGCTCGTTTAGAGGATATACTTAAATTATAGTTTTTGATTAAAAAACTTAAAATTTTAATTTTTTATGATAAAAAATACTGTATTAAAATTAATAATTTGAGTTTGAGTAAGAGTAATCTTGACAAATATTCTTTGAAAAAGAATAGGTTAAGATTTTTACTTACTCTTGATTCATAATCTTTTTAGTCAAATAATTACACTAATAAAAAAATATTTATCCAGAATAAAAAATAAAGATCCAGAGTCATAAACTCTTAAAAATAAATTCTCCAAAACGATAAAGATAATTTTGGCTTTAGTTTGGATTATTTGGCTCTAATTTGCATTTTGATTCTTTAATTTGTCGTGGGACCAATTATTGATCTGTTTGTGTCTAATTTGTTTTTTGATTTGCAATTTCTGTTCCACAGAGATTGAAGATCCAATCAATTTCATTGTTGTTGTTGTTTACATAAAAGTTCTTTTGTTTTCAGTCTTCTTTTTTCTTATAATTTGTTTTTGTTTCAATATGGAATTTTGTGTGTGCAATTTTGATAATTAGTCTTTTTTTTAAAAAAATTTAAGGGACATATAGGGCTTGTTCGGTTGCATTTTTGAGTTATGGTGACTTGAGTGTATATCTTAAGTTAAATTTGAGTTATAATTTGAGTTTGTGTTTAGATGTGCACATTTAAGTTATGATTTAAATTAAGAATCTACTTGAGTTTGTGTTTGAGTGAGTCAAAACTTGAATTTATATTTAGATAGTGTTTTAATAAAAACTCAATAGTGATAAAAAATTTTAATAGGGTATATGGGTGGAGTTTTATTCGTCTTTTCGTTATGAACGCATAAAAAAATTATCTCAATTGGAATTAAAACGAAAAAGTTATGACATTTTTAAGAATATAAAAAATATTGTTCATTAACTTGAGTTTGAGTTTAAGAACTTGAGTTAAAAGGAAAACTTAAACTCAAATTTTAGCCCCAAACTCAAGTTCAAACTCAAATTTTACAAACAAATATGAACTTGAATAAAGTTGTAACTTGAGTTCAAATTTTTTTTCAGTTTTACTCTAAAAGAACAAGCCCATAGATATTTGAATTGACAATAAGGTGTGGTGTCCCTACTCAATTGTATGCTATGTTTTTTTTTTTTATTATTGCTATTTAGTTAGGCTAATCATTTGTATGCGTTTCAATACTTTTTTATTCTTAGAAATTGATAGGTTGAAATGGATCATAGTCTAGCAGACTATGGCCGGTGTCAGAAATTGGAGATTCTCCGGCTGACGTATTTAGTTAGGCTAATCATTTGTATGCTTTTAAAACTTTTTTAGCCTTAGAAAATGATTTAAACAGGTTGAAATGGGTCATAAACATGTTCAAATGAACCATAGTCTGGCATATTATAGATCATAGTCTGCTAAACTATGGATCATAGTCCATAGTCTTTTAAACTATAGATCATGGTCTGACAGACTATGATCAGTGTCTGGCGATTGAGACCCATTTGTCGGCGTAACCCATCAGACTATGGTTAGCGCCCAGCGACCGAGACGCATCTATCGGCTATGGGTCATAGTCTGACAGGCTATGGGTCATAGTCTGATAGGTTATGGGTCATAGTCTGACAGACAATGGTCAGTTGGCGATTGGAGACCCACAAATCGGCGTAACCTGATAGACTATGAGTTATAGTCTAACAAACTATTGGTTATAGTTTACAAACTATGAGTCATAGTCCGGTAGAATATAGGTCATAGCCTCGCAGACTATGATTGGTTGGCGGCCGGAGACCCATCAGCTGGCATAACCTATCAGACTATAGGCCATAGTTTGACAAATTATGGGTCGTAGTTTGGCATACTATAGGTCGTAGCCTGGCAGACTATAAGTCATAATCTGGCAGACTATAGGTCATTGCCTGACAGATTATGGGTCATAGCCTGACAGACTATGGCTGGTCACCGGAAAAGCCGCTAGAGGATCGCCGAAAAAATCGTCAGACGGTTGCTGGAAAAGACGTCGGAGGGTTCCTAAAAAGTTTGTCGGAAAGTCGTCGGAGGGTCGTCGAAAAACTCGTCAGAAAAGCCGCAAAAGGGTTCCCAAAAAAGTTGCCAGAGGTCGCCGAAAATGCCGTCGAACGGTTGCCGAAAAAGCAGCTGGACAGATGCACCTAACATTTTGTAAATTATCAATTTACTTTGAGGGTACTTTGGTAATCTACATATTATACTTTTGATTAATGTTTGACTATATCTATGGTAGAAATAAAATGAGTAATGTTTAAGGGTTAATAATATTTGTTGTACTATTTTAAGGAGTAGTTATAAAAATCTTCTTTTGAGTTTAAGTATATGAAACAAACAAATTCTTAGATTCTTAGAGTAAGGGGCAAACAGATCAAGAGTAAGGGGTAAATGTTCAGATTCATGCACTCTTAAGGGTAAATTTTCTATTTTTTTTATTTTATTTTAGCAAGTTTGGCCTTGATTAATTAATGCGTTTAAACTAGTGATTCTTAATTTTAACATTTAAAAATTTAAATTTTTTATAAGAAGAAAATATTATACTAAAATTAAAATTATAAATTTAAATCGTATGAAATAAATAAATTCTTATTCTATTGTAGTGGATGGCAATATAAAATTCCTTCTCCAGTTATCCAATTAAAAGCGGAACGTGTACTGTCAGTGTCGATGTACTTGTTCACTTCGCTGATTCGAGTTTGTAATTCGAGTTGAGATGTGATTTTGTGTGAGAGCTTTTTACTGTAGCAAAAAAGTTAGATGTGACTGTTTCTGAGAGCTTTTTACTGTAGCAAAACTCGAATTCTAAACTCGAATCGGCAAAATGAACGGGGCCTAATGTATAAAACTGCCTTATTGTATAAAAATGCAGTCAATTTTAGGTGAAAGTTGGAAAAGGGGAAAAAAAAAAAAGCACTTGTTCTGAAAGTAGCAAACATATCATCTTCAAAAATGCTGTTCTCGTGAAAATAGAAAGATGATGGACTTGAACTTTCATATTAAATTGCCAATATTAAAGAATTCTATCGACATGTGTACGAAACAGGCTCAACTTATAAATCATGCTTTTCATCCCAAAGAATAAATAAACAAGAGGGTCAAAAATATTACTTATCTTCTAACAAGGAACAAAAACAATAGAAAGTTACAAGGGTAATGTAATTAAAGAGAGATTAGTTTTTGGGATTTACCCAAAAATGAAAAATTCATTAAGAGGGGCGAAAAAGAGTCATATCATAAGTAATGAGAAATAAAGAACGATTAGCAACCAAAAAAAAAAAAAAAAGTGAAATAAAGAACCATTAGCAAAAAATAAAAAATAATAAAAAAAGAGAATTAAAGAACAAGGTAATTGACCAATTTTAATCCCGGGAAAATGGTTACAACTCATATAACTCAAATTTCGGTGGGGAATCCACCAACCCACGACGCGTTTTCAACAGAACGCCGTCGTATTCTTCATCTTCTTAGACTTCTTAAGCTCCTCCTTTCTCTCTCTCTCTCCTCCGACCTCCGAGCAGATCGAGAGAGAAAAGAAGGAGAAAAACAATGGAGATTTTCTACTTTCTTCTGTTCGGAGCCCTGGCATTAGTGGTCGCGGCCTTGGAGCTAAGCAAGACCGGCAAGGATCGCATCAGCACCTCCCCTGCCTTCAATGCCTTCAAGAACAATTACATCCTCGTTTACTCCATCATGATGGGTACGCACGCACGCACGCACGCACGCTTGCTTCTTCTTTCTTCTCGCATTTCAATCTTAGGGTTTCTATTGTTTATTCTGGATTTTGTGTAATCGCTGTCGAATTTTGTTGCTTTTGATTGTGCATAGCAATGGAGGACGAGTTTTGTTTTGTGTGTTTTGGATCTATTCTAGATTTCGGAAATATCGCGGTTGTACCTCTTTTTTCCCCCCTCGGGTACGTTTGGATGCCGAGAAAATTAAAGGATTGAAGCAGCGGAAAAAAAGAATATCCAAGATTCATTTTTTTTCCTGTCGTGTTTGGTATTCATTGGTGCTATTGAGTTTAATCAAACTAAACCTGAAGGTTTCTTTCTTGGCTCGGATTGAGGTGATAAGCATTTGATCGGGTTGTTTTAATAGGATAACCACCTCCTTAATCATGCGTATTACTTCTTTATTTAGGCGCGACTTTAGAACGATTTGTGTAATTAATGCATCATAAATGTTTGGTTCTGTACTTAGTTTTTGCATTTTTGGTTGAAATGAACTTAAATGTAGTACATTTATTTATTTATTTATTGTCATTGCCGTAGTAACAGTCAAGGAATTGCTTAGTATAGGCGTTGAAACTCTGTAAATGTGAATTATGTTTTGTGTATTTTGTCTCTTCTGAATCTGATTTAGTTGATTGCGGCAATAGCCGGCGATTGGTTGCAGGGTCCATATGTTTACTATCTCTACAGTCAATATGGCTTTGGGAAGGGGGAAATTGGACAGCTCTTTATTGCTGGGTTCGGATCATCTATGGTTTTTGGGACGATTGTTGGATCTCTAGCTGACAAACAGTAAGCTCTTCTTCAATCTGGGTTCCTTGTAAATTTTGTAATTCCTTTCGCTTATTAAATTACTGATGTTCTGATGAATCATGTGCCAATGTTCAGGGGTCGGAAGAGGGCATGTGTTACTTACTGTATTACTTACATTTTGAGCTGCATTACCAAACATTCTTCGGAATACAAAGTTTTGATGCTGGGACGTGTTTTGGGAGGCATTGCCACTTCTTTACTTTGTTCAGCGTTTGAGTCTTGGCTTGTTGCTGAACACAATAAGGTAGGTGCATTATTATTCTGCTAATGAGTAACAATTGTGGGAACCATATTCACCAAAGATCCTAATGGGTGGTAAAATGCGTTGACATCATTATCAATTTCTCACTTGAACATTAGTATATAATTTGCAGAGTCTACGAACATGGACTATTTCACAATATGCACCTCTCAGAAGCTGCAGCCCTTATCTATTATTACTGTCTAACTATGTTTCCAAAAAGTAACTCCATTAAGTTTAATTGTTTTGTCACTGTTGTAAAGGGTTTTGCTAGATTTTCGATGTGGAGTGGACTTCTGCTTTAATTTTCTCTTGAATGCATACTTTGTAACCTTTTGTTTCTCTCTACTTATTGCAGAGGGGCTTTGACCAGAAATGGCTTTCAATTACATTCTCGAAGGCAATATTTGTTGGCAACGGTTTGGTTGCCATTGTAGCTGGGTTGGTTGGGAATCTTCTAGTACATACTCTGGAATTTGGCCCAGTTGCCCCATTTGATGCTGCTGGGTGCTTTCTAGCAATTGGAATGGTCGTTATATTGGCGTCATGGACCGAAAATTATGGAGACCCATCAGAAAACAAGAGCTTGTTTTCCCAGTTCAAAGGTGCCACTATGGCCATTGCTTCTGGTACTTCCCCAGCTTATTCTTTCTTGTCCTTTGTGAAGTTTGCTTCATGCAATAAATAAAATTTCCAGGATCACAGATCAGCTGTGTTGGGTGTGTCTGTCTTTGTCTTTTAATCTTGATATTAAATCAAGTTTTTGAATAATGTCCTTCCATGTGGGAGCAGATGAGAAAATTGCATTGCTGGGTGCCATACAATCCCTATTTGAAGGTTCAATGTATATCGTTGTTTTCCTCTGGACTCCTGCTCTGAGCCCAAATGATGAGGAAATTCCGCATGGTTTCATTTTTGCAACATTCATGCTGGCCTCAATGCTTGGGACCTCTATTGCATCTCGATTGATGGCTCACTCATCCCTCAAAGTTGAAAGCTATATGGAGATTGTATTTGTAATCTCTGCTGCATCCCTCTTGCTTCCTGTTGCAATAAACGTATGTGGTGAAATATCGTTCATCAGTCTCCATCTCTTGCATAAATTTGCATTTTCTTTTGGATTATGGTTATTGTGTACTGTTAAGTTTTATGAATATGTCTACATAAATTTCAGTTCTTAGTAGTACCTTCTGGCGTGAAAGGTGGAAGCATCTCGCTTTCAGGGTGGATTCAGCTTGTTGGGTTCTGCACGTTTGAGGCATGTGTGGGAGTTTTTTGGCCTTCTATCATGAAAATGAGGTCCCAATACATTCCCGAGGAAGCAAGAAGCACCATAATGAACTTCTTTCGCGTTCCTCTCAACATCTTTGTGTGCATCGTGCTGTACAATGTGAGTGCTTGAGTTTCTTTCTTATATGCATGGATGATATTGGTTTAGTGGACTAGTGGAGTCAGTCTGGTAGTGGTAAATTTGACAAACTGCTGTATTCGATAGTTTGTTTCTCTCTCTCACCTTAAAAATTGGTTTCTTCCAATTTCCTTTTGAAGGTTGATGCTGTTCCCATCACTATAATGCTTGGCATGTGCTCGATCTTCCTCTCAATAGCTGCTGTGTTGCAAAGGCGGCTCATGATGATTGGAGAGAGTCACAGATTAAGTAAGTTCACAAATAACCCTCTAAACAAAGAATGATTTATACACTTACTATGGTTGTGTATGTACCTGAATAAGCACATTCTTATATACATATGCATTTGCGTATTATCAATAGTATATTCTTTTATGGGCGTATCATTGATTTTGTGTACGCATGTTGCATTGCAGAAACAGAAGACTGGACGCCACTAGACAAGTACAAAGACGAAGAGCCATTAAATCCTTAATCGATGCAAGAAGGATCTTTGGAATTTTTTGGAGTATAGGTTTGGCTACTAGTCCTCATTCCGGATTTCTCGCTGCAATTTTTGGCTGCTTGGCTTTTGTGGGATGGTGCAAACTTCATAGGGGCGTAAAAGGACTTTTTGGGGCTATCAGCTGGTGGCCAGATAACAAATTATAGCAAAGGTAACTGTAATTATATGGTGTCTTCTGCAGTAACTATAAACTACAGCTGGTGTCGGGTAAATCTTCTCATATTTTGACATTAGCAAATTTGTTCAAGTCATTATACAAACGGTGTTCTTTTGGTTTTTGTCATTCATTCTCTAATTCTTTTTTCGATTCCACAGTTACCATATTTGTTACCACTGGAATACACAGATTCCATTATTGTATCAGATGAGTCAACCCTCACGTCTCTTTAATTCATAAAGCATCACCATTCATTTGGAGAAACTGAGCAATTAATATTGCACTTCATGTATATTGTCATGATTTTGTGTTGTGTGTGGATTGTGAGATTATTTTATTCTTTTTAGGAGAATATATGAGGCCATCAAATTGCATCTATGTATGTAGCTATTTGATAAGTACAACATCGGAAATTCAGTTTCTACTTCCATTATTTTTATTTTTTCATTTTATTTCAGCATTGAGATCTTGAGTTCATATCCTTCCACCCCCAAAGTTTATTATTTTTATTTTATTTTTTGTGTATTTTGTATGTACTTTGTTTAATTTAGACCAAAAATCAAAGGGTCAAATTACTCTTTTTTTTTTTTTGTTTTTTTTTAATGAGGTCGTATTCTGATAGTTTCCATTTTCCATCTATAGCATATGCATCCCTATAATTTTTTTTATTACAAAAAAACCCTCTGTGATGTAAGCAGAGACCAGAGTGGTGTAATCATCAATGCTCAACCTCAAAGCTCACTCACGATCAATTTCTAGAATTTCCTCTACTTCAATCTGTGGAGTCGTGTAAATCTTTATGAGCAAAAAAAGAAAAATCCATGAAATCGGGAAGAGCAAACATGCATGTAGATCTCATAATTTTGCAAGCAACAAATGATAAGAGATGATCAAAATAATGTTTAAGAATAAAACGATTAAATAGTTTCCACTAAAGAATTTTTCCAAAATATGTCTCATTTTGTAATTAACTACCTATTTTGGTGGGTCTCAAATTGCCTTTAAAATGGGGGAAAGTAATTTACTTTCCTATTCTCATTCAAAGATTACCAAACGACCGCTTTCATCAGCGTGGTAGCCTGTAGATATGGCAATGCACCAAGCAAAGTATATGAAAGGAAAGAAATTCACCTATAACGATAATGATAGAATGATAGCAATGGAAAGCTGAACGGAGATGTCAGATGTGAAGGTGAACAATTTGAAAATTTGACTGAAAACAAGCGTAAGTAATAATAATAAAAAATGTGCAAGATATACATATTAATAAATACCAGCTAACAAAAATGGGATTTAGAAGCAAGATTTGAATCATATTTTGGCTTAAAGAAACTTGTCCTAAAAGAAAGCTTAATATTCCATTATTAGAAGATTTGTGCTAAATAAATAATTGTGTCATTTTTTAGAAAGTTTTCTCTAATTTGTTTCGGGAAAATCAAATTTAATTTTCAGAATTTTTTAGATTTTCATTTCTATTTGTAATTTTCGGTTTTTGTTTGATGTAAGCATATGAATATGTTAGTTCAAGGAATGATTGGTACCTACTTTTTTGGCATTTGTGAGCGAATTGTATCCATATGCCGTCTTCCTCGTACTTCGCAGGCAATGCATACAGCAGAAGAGCCTTTGGATTCAGAGGAGTACAATGAAACTCGTGAGAAACTCTGGATGATAACGGCAAGATTTCTGCGGCTTGTGCATAGACTTGGGGAGACTCCTGAAAATGCCATTGTACCTCAAGTTTTGCACAAACTAGGTCTAGTGGAACAACTGCATTGGAGAAATGGCGTTTTTAGCCTTGACCGCGCAAGTGTCATGGCCCTTTTAGCCTTGACCGCGCAAGTGTCATGGCCGAGCAGCTTGAGTCATCAGGACATGACCTTGATTTCTCTTGCACAATCATGGTCCTTGGAAAGTCGGGCGTCGGCAAAAGTGCAACCATCAATTCAATATTTGATGAAGTGAAGCGTGACAGAAACGCTTTTCAAATGGGCGCAAAGAGAGTTGAGGAAGTTGTTGGGACTGTGCAAGGGATCAAAGTAAGAGTCATTGACACACCTGGCCTCCTTCCTTCCTGGTCTGACTGGGGCCAGAACGAGAAGATTCTTCGCTGCGTTAAGCGCTTCATCAAGAAAACGCCGCTGGATATTGTGTTCTATGTTGATAGGTTAGACATGGAAATGAGTAGTGATTTTAGTCATGATATGTTGTTGAGCACCGTAACGAAGATTTTTGGCCCTACAATATGGTGCAAAACAATTGTGGTATTCACTCATGCCGCTTCTGCTTTACCTGAGCCGGAGGATCCCAATCATGGTATTGCTTCTTCTAGTTATGACATGTTTGTCACTCAAAGATGTCATGTTGTTCAACAAGCCATTCGTCGGGCGGCTAAGAATAATAAGCAGTTGATGAATCCTATTTCGCTAGTCAAGAATAATAGGCCTGCGGGGCAAAGAGTAGTGTTGCCGAAACCCTAATTCATTATTAATGCTCTCTTTTTGCATCAATGATTTTGGCTGAAGCAAACACACTTTTAAAGTTCCAAGAATATCATAATCCACGAGAAAATTGTAAGCCTCATCCTTTGCCTTTCCTGCTTTCAACCCTTCAACAAGCAATGCCACAGTTGAGGCTGCAGCCCGGAGATGATAATGTCGGAGAAGACTACCAATCATCCGATTTTGATCATCTAGATCAGGATCATCAATTGATAAATGTTGAGAGAATGTTTGTGCTTAAGAACAAAATTCCCTCCTTGTTAACTGGCCAAGTTATGAACGACAAGCAGGATTTTTCACATCTCCAAATCGAAGCGGTGAGCTCGGTAGAGCACGGTGAAGGCAAAACAACTTCAGTAGGATTCGATATGAAGACTGTTAATTGTGGGAAGGACTTATCTTGTACTCCAAGGGGTGAGACGAAGTTAAGTAAGAATTTCATATGGAAGACTTGTGCAGCGGTTGCTGGTGTAGGTGTTACTGTCTTGGGAGATTCATTATCAGCCGGAGTTAAAGTGGAAGACGAGTTGATTTCAAATAAACGGTTGCGAGTGGCTATGACTAGCGCCGCAACGACCTTGCAGCGCAGTTTTATCCTCAGCTCGGTGATCGCTCGTTATGGACTCATCTTGGGATTTCTTTCATGGATTGGCACGGTGACCTTGATGCCAATTGTCACGTACAGTGTCTGATTGCGGTTGGACGTCATGCAAACTTGATTGCTAGTGCCAATTTGAACAAGCCATCAACAACATCTTCAACTTTCAGCTTTGGCTGGTCTCATTATTATACTAAGAAAAGTTTTCAAGTTTTTAATTAAGAGTGACTTTAGCTTCCCTTGTTATTAGATAGTCTGATCATTTGGTGATTTTATTTCATGTTAGCTATGGATCAAAGGTTTGCTTTTTTAGTTCAATTAGGCCTCATTTTTTGTTTTATAAATTCTGTGTCAAAGTTGTTTTATATTAGTGGAAAATATTATTGCTACTTGCATTGCCGTCTCCTCTGCAATCCTCATGTCCTTCCACTCAATTTTTTCTTCTCACGTTTTTTGCCTTTTTTTTTTTGTTTTTTTATTTTTTATTTTGCCATGAATCATTATAACTTGTCACTCTTTGAATTTACATGTATTTTTTTTTTCCGGAATTTTACTTGTGGTATTTTGATCAGAGTTTAAAAGGACATTTTGTGATACCTCAAAATGCAAGGTTAAATATTGCATTTCACTTGAACATAGTAGAGGAATCACGAAACGACACAAAAAATATAGATTACGGAAAGGAATCCCATCCAAGAATGAAGAAAAACGACACGGAAAGGGAATCGGGAGAAACGACACGTAGTGGAAAACAACATCAAATACAAGCGACTTAAGACAGAGGAGAGTATTACATGGCTTAAGTACGGGGAAAGAATTATTTTCTTGTTTGCTTATGCATCAATCAAAAAAAAAAAAATCGTGCGAAAGGTTCTTAATCAAGTAAAACTGGGTTTTTTATTTTTATTTTTTTTAATGAGTAAATTGGGGTTGGCATCTTATATTGTTCTTTCTTTTATTGTGTGGTATTCCAAGTCTTTCTCAGTCTCCCTGCCGACACATTTATGGGTGGTATGTTTCGGTTCCAGTTGGCCGAAAACGACGAGAAAATAAGAGATCAACAAAACAACAGTAACGAAAAAAGATTATAAATTATAATAGAGGAAAATGGAAACAAAAATTAAAAAACGACATCAAAACAGAAAACGACAAGAAATTGGCAAGCGACAATGAAACATTGGAATGACATAAATGATAGAAACGACAACAAAAAGGATCACAAGCTTCCATCTCATGGAGCACTGTACATATCATCTGAATGAAAATAGAAGTTGTAAGAGAAACCCAATATTTTGATAATGAGACGGAGACAATTTAATTTCTAGAATGCAAATGGTTTTCAAAGTGCTAGCAAATACTAGTAAAGGGAAAAGGAAAAAAAAAAAAAGCAAATTTGCAAGCATTAATAGCCCGTTTGGTTTTTTTTTTTTTTATTGAAGTAAGTGATTCTGATTCATATTTAAAAATTTTTAAGAGTAACTATTGACATGAATTTTTTTTATTTATATTTTTTGTGAGAAAAAACTACTGTAATAAAATTAAAATCATGAGTTCAAATACGTGCTCTTAAAATTGCTTTGGAATCTCACTAATTATTGTTGATGCGGTCATGCGGCTACTCTCATTCTCAAAATGTATAGGAGATGAATGAATACTAGAAAACGACTAGCCATGTGAGTCAATGTCCTGTTCTTTCATGTCTTCTCCACATGAGATATTTGATTAAATTGAATCCATTTTCCAATTTATATTGAATATAAAGCATCCATACTCTTCTCTTTCCAAAGGTTTTTTTTTTTTTTCTTTTTTTTTTTTTGCTGAAAACTTCTCTTTCCAAACTTGCATACACATCTAGAGTGGCACTTATGAATACCTATCTAACTGGTCCATGTGCCATTATTAGTCATATGATTGACTTATTTCCCAATTTTAACCCTGTAAAGCTACTCTATATCTCTCAAAATATGAGAACAATTTGGGAAGTTGCTATAGCTATGCAGCCAAGCCTTTCCACACAGATCTATACATTGGATAATTCTTTTGGACCTTTTTTTTTTCTTTTCTTTTCTATACTAATTTTGGTTTAACTTTGACAGTCTAAAAGATCTTAAACCAAGAAGGGCATTCTGGTAAATTAGGCCTTGTCTTGTACTTTTATTCCACCTATCTGTCTTCCTAAACTCAAAGCCAATAAGATTGTCCCCTCCGGTGTCTCTTGGCTTCCGAATCACCTCCAAATTTGAGAAAAGAGAAGAAAAAACTTGAGGATTGACAAATAAACAAAACGAGAGATGGCCAATCTTACCACTCTTGGTCCTAGATATTTGTTCTTCTTGTTGCATGTTTTGTTACTCTCGTTAATGCAAACCAAAGTCTCCTCTTACCAGTACAAAGTTGGAGATTTAGATGCTTGGGGAATACCCACTTCAGCAAATCCACAAGTCTATGCCACATGGTCTAAATACCACACTTTCAGTATTGGAGATTCTCTTCGTGAGTCTTCTCTCTTACGTCTTTCTTTCTCATCTCCATTGGGGTTCTCTATATATATTGACTCTTCAAATTTGTGTGTGTTTTGTTTCAGTGTTCTTTTACCCACCAAGCCAAGATTCAGTGATCCAAGTCACGGCACAATCCTACAACAGCTGCAACCTCAAAGATCCAATCTTGTACATGAACAATGGAAACTCCCTCTTCAACATTACTGCAGAGGGTGAATATTTCTTCACCAGTGGAAAACCGGGTCACTGTGGAAAGAAGCAGAAGCTCCACATTCTTGTTGGGAACGTCACTGCCACTGCATTTTCTCCCTCTTATGGTCCCAGTGCATTACCAGACACTGCCCCGTCTTATCCGACTGTATTCGGCACGATCCCTGCACCGCCTTCTCCTTCTTCTTCTTCTTCGCCATCGTTAAGATTTTCGGGTTTCGTGGTGGCTGCTATTGGATTTGTGGTATGTGCACTGCTAGGTGGAGCCATGTGAAGAACATGAGGAGAACAATTTTTGTACCCCATTTTGATATTGGTTCTAAATTTTTTTTCAAATGATTCGTTCATAATTATATGAAAGTATTGCATTTTTGTAATTCAATTTTACATCAAGTATATGGAATGATATGTTTTATTTTTCTGATCTGCATTGCTGAGGTATGTGTTTTTCTGTTTCCATGTTTGAACTGTGAATGCAAGGTTTAAATTTTCTCTTTTGCTGTTTTCTAAAAAGATAACCCAAAGTTCCATGTCAAAGGGGAAGAATAGGCGTGAGAATCAAATACACAGCCCGATGATTAAGGTGATAACAAGCTTTTTATTAAATTATTGATTTGCCAGCTGGGTTTGCATGTTGCACCCGACAGTGTCTCATCCTAGTGGGTCAGATATCTTAAGTGTATCACAGATCAAAACATGAAATGTCCCATTGGATCGGCAGGAGCCAACTATGAGCTGAAAAGGGTAACCAGGAAACAAGAGGGAATGGTCGAAGAAGCCTTGTTTGACTATCCCCAAGAAATAAGAGGAAGCCCCAAAAAAGTGAAGGAAAAAAAAGAAAAGAAAAGAAGGGCAAGTGCTAAATTGTTAAATTGAGAAGATATTTGAGCCCACAGAAGCAGTTTTCCTCTTTCCTCTTTCCTCTAAGACACCTTTGGTAAAGAACCTAAAGGTGAAGGTTTACATCAAAAGCAGCAATGTTTACAGCTTAAAATATGAAGAGTACAATGGGGCAAGAGATTAACAGCTGCGAAAACCGACATCTTTACTGTCTACCATAATATGGTATATTTTTGCATTTTCGTTTTGTTATTGCTTAAATATGGTAGATATTGCCTGTGTATATGAGAGAGAGAGAGAGAGAGAGAGAGAGAGAGAGAGAGAGAGAGAGTAGTGGAACAAGAGATTAACAGCTGCAAAAACCAAAATATTTTACATGCTTATGCCATAATATGGTACATTTCCCCCTAAAGAATAAGTACAGGTAAGAACTTCCAACAAAATTGCTGATGATCAAGAGACCCCTTTTTAAACTCTAGCGTTGACCATCATAAATTGGACAAGGTGGATTTTCCCGTATGGAAAAGGCACTGCGACTGTCGGCATATGATTGGTGTAGTTATTTAGCTCACAATATCAACGTCTACGCTCATTTGCTTCTCTTCAGAAGCAGCATAGGGTGCACCTGGAGCTGTAGGCTCTGTAAACTGTGCAACTGCGGACTTCGGTTCTGTTGATGAAAATGAATTCCTCATTTGAGCACCACCAGAGTCTATTTCCATAGCAGAAGCCCTGGGAGGGGAAGGAGGCTGCACTTCTACCTCTGGGTAAGCTGCCTTAAACCGTGCCCGCAGGCCTTCATCAACCAGTCGAACTCCGCTCAATTGATTGCCGAGTGACATCCACCTGACGACAGGAAAAATCATGCAGCAATGATCAATACAAGCCAAAGGAGTTATGAGTAAAAAGTTCCACAAAAAATAGAGTAGAGAATAAATGGCTCCTTACAAAAACCAAACAATTATACTTATCGGCAATGAGTTTCAACGAGGGACTAAAAAATCTATTAGCTCTAATTATCATGACAATGAACTTTTAAGTGCCAAAACCCAGCCCTATTAAATATAACTAATGAAAACCGCAAGGGCATATCATGATTCAAACTGCAAGGGCATATCATGATTCAAACTGGCCGCAGAAGTTGACAAATATTTCCTCTCTTAAATTTATGCCATTTAACTGTTATGAAGGGGAAAAAAATGTAAAACTTGAAGGAAAAAAGGATTACAATGTAAAGATATCATGTAAAAGGCAAGACCGAGATGTAAGAAAGATACCCTGCATGAGTGTTGTGCATGCGAGCAAATAGTTCCAGCTTTCTTGTCCTTGGACTTATTCTCTCCAGCATAGGGTACATCTACATGAACAAATTAGCATTACTCCAACTTACAATTTGTGTCCCTGAATTCAAATTCTTTGTTTTGTCTTGTATGCATCAACAAAGGAACTCTTTTGATATAGTATTTATGCTGATAAGATGTATGTTCTACTAACCTCATCAGGCTTACGGCTGGTCTCTCTAACCTCAGCAACAATAACATCAGTATCAATGTTTCTATTTACTTCCGGATCCCCCTTTATTCCCACAAGGCAATGCTCTTTGCTATGATTTAGCCAATGGCCGGTCCTCCCTGTTCTGATTATTCGTTGAAGCTGATTAGTCTTCACCCAAATGATCTCCTCAACGCGCTTGTATCCCCAGAGTTCTAAACTGCAAGGAGCATGTAGGTGTGAGAAATAACCGTATGCAGTATTTCCAATATAGTTCATAAACCCTATGCACAGAACAGAGCCAAAATAACTCATACCATTCACGTCCAAGCTCCATTGCACGTCCAGTGACCCAGAGAAAAATCAGACCATCAGTCTGCAGTGCAGGAACATTAAGATTGCGCATTTCATCATCAGCCATTGTCCCATAAGGCAGTTCCATATGGATATCCCATGGTGGATCTGCCATTATAACGCCAAATTGCCCTAAAATATCCATTCTAAAGTTACGGATATCACAATTGATCCATTGTGGTTCACCAAGTTCCACTTCTGAACAATATTCTGCACGCTGAGGCTTTAGCAGTTTGGGAGGAGGAAGAGTGGCAGATCCCATTATCATGGGAGACACATCTGGCGTTGGATCGAGCTCATAATGAACATACTTGCATGTCTATCAAGGGAAAAAAGCAAATTGTTTGTTTTGTCTTTTATGTAAAATTGTAATTGATACATAATCCAGTCAAATTTGATCAGAACAGTAGTGAAACAAATATACCTTCATGTGCCGGCAAGTATCTAGGAAAGAACAATCCCCTAAATTGATGTCAGTATGTGGAGCAATTATTCGCCGAAAATGAACCTAAAATAAATTTTAAAAAAATATATGAACCAAGCACGATGTGCATAAAAACGCTCATATTAGGAGGGCATGAATTAGAATCATATCCAAGCCCAGCAAACTATATCTAGCACCTACTAACCTTCTCACATGCCATAAAGGAACCTGATTGACGTCGGCAATCTTCTTTTGTTAGGGATGAGCAGTACTCTTTCAATTGGGAACCCCCTTTGGTTTTAAACTGGAGAAGAAAAAGGCTAGTATAATTAGTGTCAAACATATAATGGAAAAAATACTAACAGAAAAAAAAAAAAAAAAAAAAAAAAAAAAAAAAAAAAAAAAAACTAGAAAATTAGGAACTACATAAGAACATTGCAAAAGATTAAACTTGACTTTTCAGGAGAGGCAACTCATTCCACCAGCAAACTCAGCAAATAGAAACAACCAAAAACTTCACAGCAGAACAATGCTGAAAGCTCACTAATTACAATACCGAAGATATGGAGACACGAGAAGTTTAATAAATGAAATTTTGATTGAAAAATTAAAGAGCTCTAAGCGAAAGTAAATAATTCTGAAATCACAACCCAGCTGCCTTCACATTATCTAGAAAACACTTAATCAATTATTTGGTAATCATGACTGTCAATAAGCGCTTTGTACTTTCTTTTAGAACAAGTAACACCTAAACTTTGCTAAAAAAAAAAAAAAGTAACACCTAAACTAATCTGCATTAGCAATTCAAACTTAAACTAAACAATCGCAAAAGAAATGCCACAGAAACCACAAACCTTAGCAGCCACAGCAGTTTCCTTCGCAGTCGGCCGGTGAATGAGGTCCAAAAGCTCCTCTCCGGTTTTCGACTTCTGCATTTCCCTAAAAGATTTCTTATTCAACAACGCCTCAAGGTCCTTCAAATCATCATCCTCACTTCTGGGATTCTGAGCCATAATTGCATTAGAACCTCCTCCCATGGCCGCAGCATTTGGCCCCAATGGAGGCCGGTGAAACGGAGGAACAGCAAGCCCTCTGGGAATCCCCATCAGTCCCATTCCCCTAGGACCGCCCCTCGGAAACATCGGTCCCATCCACATATCAGGCATTGGTCTAATCGGCCCTGTTATTCCAAACATTCCGCCATTAACATCACCCCCACCCATTTGCTGCTGGTTCTGAATCCCATTTCCATTTCCATTTCCATCCCCCAAATTCAATTCCGGTTGCCCCGCGCTCTCCGGCAATTCCTTTACGAGCCGGGTCCGATCAATCCCCACAACCATAACCCTAGATTTCCCATTCACCACAAACTCCTCTAATTCAACGCCGCCATTCTCCTCCGCCATCGACCTAAGTGCCATCTCCACCGCCAGTATCGCCCCGGACTCGCCTCCGAGCTCTCGCAGCGCCGCTTTCTCCGCCGCGGTCGCCGTCTGGTCATTCTCAAGCTTCCTTAGCACCGTCGACGAATCAATCTGAGAAAAAGGCACTCTTTCGAGCAAACAAACCGCGACCATGGACCGAACCACCGAAAGCGGACTCCCGCTCTCGTCAATGGGGCTAAAACTAGGGCTAGGGTTCGAATTGGGAGGGGGTTTTGGGTTTTGGGAGCGAGATTCTGGAGACGAACGCTCAGTCGCCGGTGGTTCTAGGAGTATTCTAGGGTTCAGTTTGGGATCGGGAAGAGGAGGAGTGGGAGTGAAAGCGCGATTTACGAAGGAAGAGACGATCTTGAGAGAGAGATCGATGGAGGAGACGATGTTGGGGTCGATTAGGGCTTGCAGAGAAGATAGAAGCTGGAGGTGGGTGGTGTGGTGGGAGTGAATTCGAGCTTCGAGACGCTGACGCTTCTCTTTAATGGCGGCCATGGAGATTTCTTCGTTGCCATCTGATTGAGTTTCCATGGATTTTTCTTTACCGAATCTCTGTTGTCTTCTACGGCTCTGATCAGTGATCAGTTTCCCTTTCCCACGCTGTACTAATATATCTGTTTCACTGAAACTGGAGTTCTAACACTCAAACTCAAAAGCCCAAACTCCTCCTCCCTCTCTCTCTCGCTCGCTCGCTTATAAGGTGGTGTACTGCTGTTTGATAAAACTATGTCGTTCGTAATAGCTTTTGTCGCTTTGAGGGTTAGTCTCGTGGTGTGAGATTTTCGTCTATCCTAGAAGCAAAAGTTGTTGTTTTAATAAAATTTGTCGTTTTTAGGATTTTTTTTTTTTTTTTTAAATTCGCTGTCTTTTATAGGAAATGTTTTGTTATAAATTATGGATTAAATTGTTTAGTGCCATTTGTAGATATGTCGTAGTTTATCTAGTATCATTGTTTTTTTTTTCAAAGATGCTATTGTTTGTTTGTCTATTGTTTGTCTCGACAATTTATTATTGTCGTTCATACGAGATGACGCCCTTTTGTAGGGTTGTTCTCGACAATTTAGTTATCATCGTTTATAGGACTTATTGTCGTTTTTGTACTTGAACACATTTTGTCGTTTGACAAATGTTGTCGTTTTTTAAGCTTATTGTCGCTTGTAGTTTTCCTGAGTGTTCCAATTTCCTTGAGGTCTCGTCTTTTTATTACTAGGGATAGCGATATTTTTGTTTCTTAAATGATTGTTATTGATTGTAGGATGATATGTAGTAGTCTGACTACTATTGTAGTTTGTAGGAGACAATGGTCTCGGTTCATAAACGGAACAGAGATTACCAATAAAAGTTTTTATGAGTTACAAATTAAAGAATCACCGCCAATAAACATGGCTTGATTGTGCTACTTTTGCACATCTGCCATTAATCATAAACCATACATAGTTCATGCCATGAAAACTTTTTTCATTGAAAAGTTGAGAAAAAACAAAAAAACAAAAAAACAAAAAAACAAAGAAGCAAGACCTTGCTGAAGCTTTGTTTGATTGACTGCATAAAAGAGTTCAAATTCAAGGTTTTTTTTTTTTTTTTTTTTTTTTGCCCCTATGCAAGACAAACATTTAATTTCTTGATTGTTCTCAACAAATTTTTTCTATATAAATTGTAGTTTTGTCAGAATCTCCTACTCAAACAAACAATGCTTCTTTGTACTTCATGTGTAAACCGGGCAACCTTCAATGACAACCCCTTTAGCCGTTGGGCAAGAAGCCAAGGGACAACCATCAAGATCGTTTCCCCACCAATTCAGGCTAATATCTTCCATTCCCAAGCTAAAATACAACACCACCCCCATGAAGGCAAGACCGGCATCAAGCGCGCCGGAGAGGACATAGTTGTGGCGGCGCCACCAGTCGGGCTTGTACCGGTACACCACGAAACCGGAGAGGAACCCGGCAAGAATCCAAGTGTTGAAGTTGACTGCCGTGGCAGGCGGCATCATCCCCGTGGCGCCTATCAACACAGGCATGTTGATAAGCCTAATCCACTCTTGACTTGGGAAGGCCCTGGCCGCTAACCACACAAGTATGGGGGCAATGGCGCCACCTAGGAAGAACCAATTGACGACGGAGTAAGACCCCAAGTTGCCGAAGATTCTGCGCGGACCGACCAAGCCCCAGATGACAGATGCATCGTAGAACACTGTGTCACCTGGACATGTCCAAACAGATGATGTGTCTTCACATATGTTTGGGATGGTTTCCATTAGCCACCATGCAGTGCCTAAGTAGACTAAGGCAGCTATAAGGGTCCCAACCATCTGAAGAAGAAAAAAAAAAAAAAAACATTTGTGTATTGATAAGTTCATTCACTATTTCTTAAAGCTCGATCTTTCCCTCAAATAAATAAAACCATATAGCCAAGAGAAATCATGAATCAGAATAGAAGATCTTGCCCCACCCATAAATAACTAATTCGTTGTAATTTTATTAGATCGAACGTCTTTTTTGGTATATCTAGATAATACGTAGGAGCATAAAGTCATAAACTGAAATATAATAGAGCTACACTCTCTGGTTCAGCTCATTTTAGTTTCATGACGGGTCATGACACTGTTTTTTCAGTGTGCCATTTTCTTAATTGTTATTAACTTTTTAGTGATCTTGTCTAAGGAAATAATTAGAAGAAAGTAAGGAAACAAACCTGTGCCATGAACATTGTTCTTGGGGGGATTTTCATGTAGTGACCAAGCTTGAAGTCTTGAAGAAAACTGAGGGCTTGTGACATGCTTATATAGCCGTATACTTTAAAGCACATGTTAGCCACAGGGTATCCAGGGTAGATATACCCAATAATATACTCAGTCATGATGTTTAATCCCGGACTCTGTTGGTGGGGAAAAACTGATAGTCAGGGTAAATGCTTAGCATTTTTGCAAAATAGAGACCTTCAACTGCTTATGCTTGGACATGCTTAACAACAGTGGCGGAGGCATGAATTTTTTTAGAGGACGTCAGTGAAACCAAAATCTTAAACTAAAATAATAGTACAATTTGTTATTTTATTTATCTATTATAGTAATTTTCTATTAATTCAAATGAATTAAGTTCTAATCGAGTTTACTTCTACAGTCTGTGAACTTACCTAGTAGTGTCATTGATTACTGATCTATTAATCAATTAAGAAATAAAATATGAGATACTCAAAACTTTAAATTTGGACTATCATCGAAACTTCCGGCGGATGGCCAATAACTCAAGGAAAGGAAAGGATCGGTTACATTTTTCATATGACTAATTATCTATAATTTTTTTTTTCTAGTATCCATTTTGCATCATATCTAAGGGATTCCTTGGTTCGAGCCGAAGAAGTAATGTCGCTCGATCATTATCAAAAAAAGTAACAGCTGCTTGAGAAGATAATTGAATTTGACAATTTGTGTGGGG